CAGGATACCATCCCAGACCTGTCTGGGATTATTGTAGGAAGCAGCTGTATTGCATGGAAAGAAAAAAAAATCGAATTTGGGGAGTTATTTCCCCTCCCTTGTTTCCCCCTCCAAGATGCCTCCTCGGTTTGGGTGGCTTCAAGGATGTTTAATGGTGGGGAGAGCATTGCACGAGCGTTTGTTGTCTGCTAATGCTGTTTTTTTGTTGGTTTTTTTTTTTTTTCCTTTCTCCATGTAGCTGGACTGCTGTGGTCCCGATAATGCAGTAGGAGCTATCACTCCCCTGTGGAGAGACGACCTCTGCCCAAAGAAGGAAACCGTCCTGAAAAACCTTATTGAGGTAGGCATGGCTGCTCTTCGCTCAGCACAGCTCCTGCGAGGAAACTCAGCTGCCAGGGAAATTTGGGGATTAGATAAAGGGTAGAGACTTCATTTATTTGGGGATGTTGGAAGTTATCATCGGTTCTTCCTTTGCTGTTACTGCTTGAGGGGGCTGGCAGGCATGGAGGGGTAAAGTCTGGTAGGAAGTCCTAGAGCCAGGACCCAGCAACGCGAGCAGGACTGAGAGGAAGCAGACCTGCCTTCCTGGGTGCCAGGGGTGGGCAAGGGGAAAGCGGGCTCTCTGACCGGCGTGCTTCTCTGCTTCAGTCCTCAAACTGCCACAAAAAAATTGACGAGCTGTTCTCCGGGAAGCTGTACCTGATCGGTATCGCTGCTATCGTGGTTGCTGTGATCATGGTAAGCATGACTGCGCGGCGCCCTGCTGTTGTGGGATGGGGAAAAGCCACCTCGGGGTGCCTCAGTCCTGTTCCAGCTGGGCTGGATCCATCCCTCTCCTCCAGATGCCTCTGCGGCTCAGCGTGCAGCACCAGCCCTCTGTACCCCAGCTGCTCTGGGACGTGGCGAGACCAAGGGCTTTGTCATCCTTCTGGGGGGTTGGAATGTTAGGGCAGGTGCCCAGCAAGCGCGATAAAGCCAGGAGCACCTGAAACCCTATCCAGAAGGGCAGAGCACTGTTGAGCCTCCTCACTGCCTCCAAAACTGCTCGTTTCTCAGGCCGCTGTGTTTTGTCGCTGGGATCTGCAGTGGGAAGGGATTTGCTTTCTTTGCCACAGTGGGTTTGCTCTCCAGTGAGTGGTGGGTGGTGTGGGCTGGTAACGGTAACCCAGCGCCTGCGCAAAGGCTGGGCTGTAATGCTGGAGGGATCTCGAAGCGTTTGCTGTGTAGCTGGCAGCTGGGAGGCTTGCAACATACCACCACTGCTGCCAGCGAGAGAGGGGAGAACATCATCTTATCTCGAATTGGCCAGCTCCTAATGAAAACAGCGGTGAAGACACAGCATCTCTGCCCTTATCTCTGGCATGAGAGTGTTTATGTGGAGTGGGGGACCTTGGGACGGGGGGGAGCTCCTGCATCCTACTGGTCGGCACCTCACTGGTGCCCCTGTGTCTCCTGACAGATCTTCGAAATGATCCTGAGCATGGTGCTGTGCTGTGGCATAAGGAACAGCTCCATCTACTGAGCCGTGAGAGCTGGGGAGGGGAAGGGGGCAGTAGGGCGGACGGCGCTAGAGGGGACCCCAAGTGCCACCAAGTGACCAGGAGACATTTCAGCAAAAGACGAAGACAACTATGTATATAAATACTTCCAATATTACCATACAGTACTTAATCATTTTTATTTTGAAGTACTTTTTTTTTTTAATAAATAAAACTTTCCCGTATCCTTGTGGCTGAGTTAGTTACACATCAGTTTTGTGTGATGGGGAAAGCTGCTGTAGCAGGAGATCGAGTCCTTCCTCCCCCTTCCCCACCCCCTGTAACTCAGAAATAACGCTGGTGGAAGATGTACAGAGGAGAAGGCTGCAGCCTGTTATCAGAAAATTCTGCCTTGGTTTTTACTCTCTTTTTCAACACCAACTTTTTTTATATATGTAATTGGATGCTGAAGCAGGATTTAGCATTTTTGTTCATTTGTACTCATCTTTTCCTACCATCACCCCAACTCCCTGGCGTTTCCAAGCTGTCCGTAGGGCAGCCTGGCTGACTGCCAGTAGCCTGGGAGAGAGGAGAGGAGAGGAAACAGCCCCTGTCGCCTGGGTGCGATGTGTCCCGGGGGAAACGCAGGTGCGTTGTTCTTCTCCAACCTGTTTGCATCGCTAGGTCAATCCTTAACAGAAGTCATGCTTAATTTTTTTTATTCTCTGCAGAGTGGGGATGGTTTTGGCTTTTTGTTTTTGTGGTTTTTTTTTTTCTTGGAGCTATAACTTTATAAATTGGCTCATTTCCATTGATTTGTTAAATTAAAGGGTCAGTGGCTGGGGGGGAATTTTAGTCCCAGTTTTTCAAATATAACAAACTGAAAATTAAGTCACTTTTTTAACCTCCTTTACTGTTTCTTTATAGACATGTTTTTGGGAGAGTCTAGTTCTGTACTGTTTCCACTGTTATGCTAATGCTTGCATACAAATGGTATTGGAAAAAAGAAGAAAACTTTTTTTAAAAAAAAGTCCTTAACCTTAGAAATCCTGCATTTATGTATTGCAGGATGACGCTTGGGGGTTCCCAGCCATATGCATACATGTTTAAAATTTCATCTTTGCATCACTCTCGTGTTCAATGAAATTTTCCTTACTTATAGCATATTGTCGCACACTGTAACATTGCTCGGAAATTGTCATAACCTGATTTTGGAAAAAAAAAAAGTTTATTTTTAAGACCTTCCACTTCCAGTTACAGCAATGGCAGGAGATCAGCTTATCAAAGCAAGGGAATTCAGGATTTTGGATCACACCAGTTGAAACACTTTCTTGTGACCTGGTAAGCTTTGATTGCCAATTCAATGTATGTGGCTTCTGTTGTATGCCACTCCGTTACCATGTAGATAGAGGGGGAGAGTGACCCAGGAGCTATGTAATAAAATCAGAGTGTCTCTAAAAAGATGATCTATATGTATAGTTCTATAGATATATATTTTTAAGCAAAGCCTTTTCCTTAGCTGTGTGGGCACTTGAGCTGGAAATTATAGTATCTCTCAGCTCTTTGCCACCTTGAAGCAGGTAAGGGGAGGAGTTGAAACTAGTGATCACCTTCCCCACTTCAGGAATATTTCTGTTTCTTAAAGTATTTCACTCTCCCCCTTCATTGCAATGAAGAGCTTCAGATCGGATAGGGAGGGAGACCCGTGATCGTTTTAAACTAGTACCTTGTCCACTGCCCGTGGCTGCCGTGGCCTTTGCCACTACAGGATAGGAAATTCCTGCAGTGGGGCAAACTGATCCATTCGGAGGCTTTTCCCCCCTTCCACTCCCCCCTTTATTCTTCCTGCCTTTTAGTATATAGGGCCTTTAAAAAGTATATAGGTAAATATATATATATATATCAAGTTGTGCTGGGAAAGAGGAGGAAGTGCTTCAACAGAACTTCGGATTGAGGGGTTGGACAAGAAAAGATTCAGCCTTAGAAATAGCCTTAAAGCCACACTGTCCTGAATGTCCACGTTGTGCACGTCAAGAATGAGACGAGGTTTTGCAATAGGTAGCCCCTTCCCCTGCTCCCCAGCATAGCTCCTTCAGGTCATCTACTCTGTTATGTGGCTATATGTATATGCATCAACCAAGCATGTGTGTTTACATATATGTGCATCAGGATCGTTAGCATACAGAATGGATGTGTAACTTGCCGCCTTTTTTGTTGACTGTTGATAAATGTGTATAAATATGCCATTAAGCATTTCAATTCTGTTTTCTTTCCTTATACTGTATTTTTGATATTGTTCAGTATTCAGTTGATGCTGTGTATGTAGCTGGAGCTCTGTTTGAAGACAGACTGCGTCTTGATGCAGATCAGACACACATCCTTGGACACTGTAGCTTTAGGTTGTCCCAGGCAGGAGCAATTGGGAGAAAGTGGTACTTGGAGAGGGAGCCTGAGAGCTGTGGGAGGAAGAAGAGCAGGATGTTTGCTCAGACCACGTCCCGCACAGGCTGCAATTTGTTCTCTGGCTCATTTCAGAGGTGGCTTGTCACTGTGGGGAGCTCCAGAGGCAGCTCCCTGGGCCACCTCCTGTCCCTGTGGCTGCTGCGGGAAAGGTGCTGCGGGAGGGAAACAGCCAGCGGCTGGGAAGGTCGTGGGAGGGGGCAGAAGGAGTTTTGCAGGGAGAGGGTAATGCTTTCTTTAGAGTTACTAGCTGACAGTCCCCATGTTTGATGGAATGGTCATCAGCTGTAGCAGGAGGGGTCAGCCCTGGGAGAAGAGGGACAGAGAAGAACTGTCATGCTTAAGAACAATGAAGTAGCTGAGAAACCCTCACAGAAAAAACTACGCACTTGGGCCTCCCCTAGTCTGGTCTCCTGTGAAGCTGGACCCGAGTTAAAACAAACTAGAGAGGAAGCTGTGAAGGGCTGAGGGGACTCACCCTGTTGCAAGCGCTCAGGATCCAAAAGCAACAGGGCTCTTCTGCCAGTTGGTCGGTCCCAAAGCTGGCTGAGGTGAAGGGGAAAAAAACACTAGGTAGGACCCCTGCCCTGCCTCAGACCCTCTCCTGAATACTTGTGCATTTGTGTGTGCAACACGTCCTGCTCCCCTCGCACCCCAAAAAACAAAGGATGAAATTGTGAGCTGTAAATACAAACCCCTCCCTCTCCAGGGAAGCATCCTCCTAGAGCTAGTGACAGCTGAGAAAATGGCTGTGAGCTGAGGTGGGGAGGAGGAGAGAGGCTGGTGGGGAAGAGGAGAGTCAACGGTCCAGGTCTAAGTTCAAAGACCGTATCGAAAGGTCAAACAGAGCTGCTGACAGCTTAACTGAATGCTTGGCATTTTTCATACTGTGGAGCATGCCACAAAGCAGTGTGTTTAACTTCTTTCTGCCTTTTTTTTAAAGAAATGAAACAAAAATCAATTTAATAAACATTTCTCATAGTGTGCATAGTGTGATGAACCATGCAGTTTTACAACCAGTTAACCTTAACACCAGGATGCTTTGTGAACCAGGCTTCAACAGCATGGGTTTTTCCAGCCTCTGGGAGGGGGGCCTGCAGGCAGGCTGGGGACGCATCCAGAATGGTGCTGAGGGGAGGCAAAAAGGTTGCTTGCTGGCAGCGGTGGCTGCTGCAATTGTGCCCCTCCTCAAGGGAAGGGGGGCACAGCTGTGGGGGAGCTAACGTGGATTGCAAAATAAGGTGACTGTGCTGAAATTCAGGGGGGGCTGCGGTGGCAGTACTGTGCACACTCAAGGGGCTTCTAAAGTGACCGAAAATGGCCCAAAATGCCCTCTGCTGACATCTGGCTGGGAGCTGGTCTGATTTTTGCAGATGGTCTGGTAATGCCACCGTTGCTGCCACCGCCTGCCCCTCCGCACCATCAGGGGAAAGCCTGGCTGAGAGCGAGGCGGGAGGCCAAGTGCTGTGATCCCACAACTGCCTGCCTTTCTCTGCCTTGTCTTGGACT